TTGATTATTATGTGTGATAGATCTTAAGTTTACTAATTGATTGCAGTACTTTTTGCACTATTATTTTGTTATGAAGTGTCATGAGTGACAAGTATGGTAAGAGTTAAAATGAAAATGTCAAAGGAGTCTGATTGGGCCATTTGTGGAGAGTTTGGGACACCTGTCAGTACTAACAATTCAGTGCCCATAGATTGAGGATAGCAAAGAAAAGATTTATCGATGTGCCTAAGTCAACAGTAGGTAGAAACACGGTCAGTGGCTACACAAATCCATATACCTGTAGTTCATTGCTACGTGTAATCAGTTCCCAAAGAGTTCTGAAAATAATCTTGTGTAAACTGTCATTTATATCATAACATAGCTCCTCTACATCTGTCAAGTGTCATCCCCAGTAAGTACCTCTTCAGAAAGCCCAGGCACCATGGCAACAGGCACCTCAGGAAAAGTGAGATGGGCTTTTAATTGCAGCGTCAAAAAGTACATCTCAGCAAGTTTCAAAAACGAGTGCATTATCTGACGAATGTTATAATTATTTTAGTCATCTCAGCGTGAATGCCAGGTGTATTTTTGGCATGGGCCTTCTTAGATATAAGCATCCCGATTGAATTTGAAAGCATACATGTTGCAGTGGAGAAAATTATATTAAAAGTTAACCAAAGTAAGGCATCTACTATCTATACAAGTTTGTTTTCCTGTTAATATTTTCCATTAAAACATACGTGAATTTGCATAAAAGCTTTCTTTCATTGTTCACAGTGTAAGATATAGGTAGATCTAATTGTCTTTAGGATGATTTGTCCCTAAGGGACAGATGTTCAGTTGCCTGTGTGTATCAGCTTTTATTTATTTATTTTTATTTTTTTGTTTCTTAAAATTTTTTATTTCCATAGGTTTTTGGAGGAAGAGGTGGTGTTTGGTTACATGAGTAAGTCATTTAGTGGTGATTTGTCAGATTCTGATGCACCCATCATCTAAGCAGTATACACTGAACCCAATTTTTATTCCTCACACCCCACCCATTCCCCCAAGTCCCCAAAATCCATTGACATTCTTATGCCTTTGCATCCTCATACCTTAGATCCCACTTATGAGTGATAGCATATGATGTGTGGTTTTCCATTTCTGAGTTACGTCATTTAGAACAACAGTCCCCAGTTCTACCCAGGTTGCTGAGAATGCCACTAATTAGTTCCTTTTTATGGCTCAGCAGTATTCAACATAACTGTTTTTTTCTTTTTTATTGTACTTTAAGTTCTGGGGTACATGTGCAGATCTTGCAGGATTGTTGCATAGGTACACACATGCCATTGTGGTTTTCTGTCTCCATCCCCCATCACCGACATCAGGCATTTCTCCCAGTGTTATCACTCCCCAACCTCCCTGCCCCCCACTGTCCCTCCCCTTGTCTCCTGTCCCGCAACACCCCAGTGTGTGATGCTCCCCTCCCTGTGCCCATGTGTTCTCATTGTTCAATACCCACCTATGAGTGAGAACATGTAGTATTCAGCTTTCTGTTCTTGTGTCAGTTTGCTGAGAATGGTGGTTTCCAGATTCATCCATGTTCCTACAAAGGATACGACCTCATCGTTTCTTATGGCTGCATAGTATTCCATGGTGTATATGTGCCACATTTTCTTTGTCCAGCCTATCACTGATGGGCATTTGGGTTGGTTCCAGGTCTTTGCTATTGTAGACAGTACCACAGTGAACATACGTGTGCATGTGTCTTTATAATAGAACGATTTATAATCCTTTGGGTATATATCCAGTAATGGGATTGCTGGGTCAAATGGAATTTCTATTTCTAGATCCTTGAGAAATTGCCACACTGTCTTCCACAATGGTTGCACTAATTTACGCTCCCAAAATGAGTGTAAAAGTGTTCCTGTTTCTCCACATCCTCTCCAGCATCTGTTGTCTTCAGATTTTTTAATGATTGCCATTCTAACTGGTGTGAGACAGTATCTCAATGTGGTTTTGGTTTGCATTTCTCTGATGACCAGTGATGATGAGCATTTTTTCATTTGTTTGTTGGCCTCATATATGTCTTCTTTTGAAAAGTGTCTGTTCATATCCTTTGCCCACTTTTGAATGGGCTTGTTTTTTCTTGTAAATCTGCCTTAGTTCTTTGTAGATTCTGGATGTTAGCCCTTTGTCACATGGGTAGATTGCAAACATTTTTTCCTATTCTGTTGGTTGCCGGTTCACTCTAATGATTGTTTCTTTTGCTGTGCAGAAACTCTTAAGTTTAATTAGATCCCATTTGTCTGTTTTGGCTTTTGTTGCCGCTTTTGGTGTTTTAGTCATGAAGTCCTTGCATATGCCTGTATCCTGAATGATACTGCCTAGGTTTTCTTCTAGGGTTTTTATGATGTTAGGTCTTATGTTTAAATCTTTAATCCATCTGGAGTTAATTTTAGTGTAAGGTGTAAGGAAGGGGTCCAGTTTCAGCTTTCTGCATGTGACTAGCCAGTTTTCCCAACACCATTTATTTATTGCCAGAATCGATATGCAATTCGGAAACTGCCAAATTGGTTCTAGACATCTGACAGGCTAAAATTTGGAGAGCAACATAGTTTTGCTTGAACCAGCAGAGACCCAGAGTCCTAATTTTAAATGGTCGCTTTACTTGGTGAAGTAGATTGGATACTGGCTTTACAGACAAAATGCCCTTGACATCTTGGATCTCAGTTCCTCAAAAAGGATAATGAGGATATTAGAAGGATAATTTATTTTATTCCTTCCAGCCCTAATATTTTGTGATTCATTTGAGTATTAATTTGCACGCAGTTGAATGGTGATGGGTGACAACACTGTAAAGAAACTTTGAAAATGAATGAATTTATACAAGAAGAAAAAATAAACAGAAAAAATGTAATAGTCTATTTTTGGTCCTACCAGGGGTAAGGTATAAGTTATTTACCTAAATAGATATAAAATGAAACTAAAAGTACTAGATATATGCAGGGGAAGTTTCCAGGAAGAAAGCTATGGAAAGATGTTGATTTAAACACCTGGGCACTTGCATTTACTTTCCATTTCTACCCTTTTCTGAAATTAGCTGTAGTCTTTTGCGTATACTTTGTGATCAGTGAATATTTGCAGAATGAGTTGACTAATAAAAATATTGTTGGGCATAGCTCATCCAAGCTGAGGAGTTTATGGGCCCAGATCTTTGTGGTAACTCAAAGGAGAGGTGGCCCAATACAGATCAGTTAGATTAGGTTTGACCTCACAAATAATATTTTCAACTGAGTCAAGAATCTTACAAAAAGAAATTGTGCTAAAGGACAAGTTTAGTATTTTTTCCCCTAAATTTTATGTTAGTTTATCCTGAACTCTCACATCAGGTTTTCTGAGAGAGATTTGTCATAACATTTACCCCCGCTATGAGAGCCAGGTCCATTTTCCACCGCTGGTACTTGTTTACCCATATGTGAAGGATAAGGCAATGTGTATGTGTGTTTTTAATTTTTCTTATTAAGTAGAATATACAGCTGTGTTTCTCCCCTCTTGGAAGGGTTCCTTAGACATTTTCTGTACCTAAATCCTAACCCCTTTGGTATATATTAGGAAAATGTCTCCAGGAGCCAGATAACCCCCTGTATTTTATTTATTATGACATAGAGTTTTCTTCAAGTTCTGGGGCTTCACCTTTCTTAAAATGTAATACCCAGAAATATAACACTGCAGTCTTCTTTAGCTATGGGCGTGTTCATCAGATAACAATGTGGCCCCTTTGAGAAGACCTAAGAAGTTTTAGTATTTTGAATCAAAGCAATTAACTAGATAAATAGTTACAGTTTTAATTCCCATGGCATGTGAAGGGTAGAATATTTTTACAGGAAGTGAAAGCAACCCTTCCCTTCTTTGTATCATATACATTTCTGAGGCTCAGCAGGCTAGGTGGTTCTTCGGGAGTACTGAGAAATTCAGGGACTTTTTATTTCTCTATAATTAGGTGTTTTAAGTGGGAAGAAACTCTACTAGGTCACGTAAATATTTTATGTAAAAATAGTAAATGATGGCTTATGTATAATAGATGGAGTAAGGTATGCTTTCTAAAATGACTTAAGAAAAAACATAGCAGGGAAAAAAATGGGGCAATTGTAATATTATTAGAAACCACATCTGGGAATCTCTCCCTATATTTAACAACCTTGACTCTTATAGTATTTCAGACTTATCTAAAAGATTTCTGTTTCTAGACATATGTCAATAGAATACTTGGAAATGTCTTTGAACTGACTCTTGCTTGGCACAGAATGTCAAAGAATCCTCATGATCATTTGTTCTATTCATATCTGTTGAAAGTTCTGAACTTGTGTGAGGGTACAATAATGTAAAAACTTGTATATATGTAGAAGGTAATATGCAAAGGTGATGAATATTTCTGTTAGGATTTTTTAAACCAATAATCTTTAATTTTTAATCTATTTGTTTAAAAAGATAATACTCTCTGACATTGTGACTGTGTTGATTAATTGGTTGGATACCTGTTGTTTGCCTCAGTCAATGAAACCAAGAGTGTATGGTATAACATCCTATGCTCTCTAAAAATAGTTTCTGTGTTTCTGGTTTTGTTCTGAGTACATTACTTTTCTCTTTGGTCCTTATAATCACAGTTTTATGTTTTATTTTTAAAATTAGAGATAGAGTCTTGCTCTGTCACCCAGGCTGGAGTGCAGTTACACTGTCATGGATTACTATATTCTTGAACTCCTGGGCTCAAGTGATCCTCCCAGTGCAGCCTCCCAAGTACCTGAGACTACACGTGTGCACCATCATGCTCAGCTAATTTTTCAATTGTTTTGTAGAGATAGAGTCTTGCTGTGTTGCCCAAGCTGGTCTTGAACTCCTGGCTTCAAGCAGTCTTCCTGCTTCAATCTCTCAAAGTGTAGGGAATACAGTTGTAAGCCATTACACTCAGCCACAGTTTTAAAGTTTCAAAAATAAATAGAAATAACTGGTTGACTTACTTGATTTGCTGTTTCTTTCAGCTTTTTGCCTGAATTCATCAGTGGAGACTTTGATTCTATTAGGCCTGAAGTCAGAGAATACTACGCTACTAAGGTAAATTATAAACACTTTTTTGTTCAAGATCTTTCTCATATGGTTGCTTTCTCTATGTTGTTTCCAATTTTCGTGGTGTATAGGAAGGGATTGATAAACTCACTAGTTGGTTACTGTTTATAATTTTTTTATAATAGCAATTGTAATATACATTCAAAATGGAAACTTATGCTTTTTCGGAATGGGTTTGCTGCCAGAACACAGGTGTCATGAAAACTATCCCTAAAAGCCAAAATGGGAAAGGAAAAGGCTCATGTCAACATTGTTGTCATTAGTCATGTAGATTCGGGCACGTCCACCACTACCAGCCATCTGATATATAAATGTGGTGGCATTGACAGAAGAACCATTGAAAATTTTGAGAAGGAGGCTGCTAAGATGGGAAAGGGCTCCTTCAAGTATGCTTGGGTCTTGGATTAACTGATAGCCGAGCATGAACGTGGGATCACTATTGGTATCTCCTTGTGGAAATTTGAGACCAGCAAGTACTACGTGACTATCATTGATGCCCCAGGACACAGAGACTTCATCAAAAACATAATTACAGGCACATCTCAGGCTGACTGTGCTGTTCTGATTGTTGCTGCTGGTGTTGGTGAATTTGAAGCTGGTAGCTCCGAGAATGGGCAGACCCGAGAGCACGCCCTTCTGGCTTACACACTGGGTGTGAAGCAACTAATTGTTGGTGTTAACAAAATGGATTCCACTGAGCCACTGGACAGCCAGAAGAGATATGAGGAAATTGTTAAGGAAGTCAGCATTTACATTAAGAAAATTGGCTACAACTCTGACACGGTAGCATTTGTGCGAATTTCTGGTTGGAATGGTGACAACATGCTGGAGCCAAGTGCTAATGTGCCTTGGTTGAAGGGATAGAAACTCACCTGTAAGGATGGCAGTGCCAGTGGAACCCGCTGCTTGAGGCTCTGGACTGCAGCCTACCACCGACTAGTCCAACTGACAGCCCCTTGCGCCTGCCTCTCCAGGTGGTCTATAAAATTGGTGGTATTGGTACTGTTCCTGTTGGCCAAGTTCCTTATTCTCAAACCTGGTATGGTGGTCACCTTTGCTCCAGTTGACATTACAACTGAAGTAAAATCTGTCGAAATGCACCATGAAGCTTTGAGTAAAGCTCTTCCTGGGGACAGTGTGGGCTTCAATGTCGAGAATGTGTCTGTCAAGGTTGTTGGTCATGGCAACGTTGCTGGTGACAGCAAGAACGACCCACCAATGGAAGCAGCTGGTTTCACTGCTCAGGCGATTACCCTGAACCATCCAGGCCAAATCAGCACTGGCTATGCCCCTGTACTGGATTGCTACAGGGCTCACGTTGCATGCGAGGTTCCTGAGCTGAAGGAAAAGATTGATCGCCTTTCTGGTAAAAAGCTAGAAGATGGCCCTAAATTCTTGAAGTCTGGTGATGCTGCCATCGTTGATATGGTTCCTGGCAAGCCCATGCATGTTGAGAGCTTCTCAGACTACCCAGCTCTGGGTTGCTTTGCTGTTTGATATGAGACAGGCAGTTGCTCTGGGTATCCTCAAAGCAGTGAACAAGAAGACTGCTGGAGCTGGCAAGGTCACCAACTCTGCCCAGGAAACTCAGAAGGCTAAATGAATATATTCCCTAATACCTGCCACCTCGGTCTTAATCAGTGGTGGAAGTACAGTCTCAGAACTGCTTGTTTCAATTGGCCATTTAAGTTTAGTGGTAAAAGACTGGCCAGTGATAACAGTACATTCAGAAGGAAGAGAGAATGTTTCGTGGATCGCTATGGTTTTCTTTTTTGAATGTGGCAATTTTAAGTTAATGGTTTCTAAAATCAGTACTTTTTAATGGAAACAACTTGACCAAACATTTGTCACAGAATTTGGAGAAAAATTTAAAAAGTTTAATAAGAAAAAAAAAAAAAAAAGAAACTCACAAAGTGACAAGTTGCAACACAATCTTGGGGAAATTTTATCACCATCATATAAAAGTTAATCCTTTAAACATATATATTTAAAAATAGTTTATAATTTATATATGCTCATCTAATAATATACAATTGTTGCCTATATCCTCATTATTATATATTTCTCATGGATCATTTTAACTTCATTTAATGGATGTACCTTATTTCACTTAGCCAATTCCAAATTAATGTACATTTCAGGTGTGCATTTTTTTTTGCTTTGTAAACTCTGCTAAAATCATCTTTATAAATGAATTTTTGTAAAAATGCATAGTTGTATATTCATAGGAATTTGGAACCAACATTTTTCTTTAATGTTTAGTTTTTTTGAAATTACTCTGTTTTGAATAAAACTCTTTGCTACAACTTGAGATTGATAATATCTTTTTAAAAGGTGTTAATTTTCTCAATATTTTGCAAATCTTTCAAAGATCTTTGCCATGTAAGAACATATAAATGATCTAATTGAGAATTATGTAAGTCACATGGGAGCGTATTAAAGCAACCAATAATTCAAGGTCTCAGTGGTTTTAAAAGACATTGAAGAGTTTTTCAAATAAAATTTGTAGCATTTGTAATTCTAGCCACAACACTATTATCTGTATTTAATTCTAAACTGGCATTAGCAAAGTACACATTTTTTAAGAAACAAACATCAGGTATTGAAATCACAAAACTTTAAATTCTTCATGAGGCTTAGGGAGAGAGAATTCAAAAAGAAGAGAAGAAACCTTTCTCAGAAAGGAAGGAGGGAAGAAAAAGTTAGGAAAATGTAAAGAAAGAGGGAAAAGGAAACATGATTCTAGGCGGGAAAACAAAGGTGCTATACTTACAAAGTATGGCTTGTTATGAGATGGGAATTCTGGGGCTGGCAGTGAATGCAGGTCTCTGCACATTCCATCTGCCCACCAGATGATCAGACTTTCCCTTAGCAAATGGAGACTGTTCTCAAGTCAGTGTTTGATATTCATGCTCAATTACTTTAACATTGGCATGTTCCTACTCATTCCCTACAGTCTCACTTCTCATTAACTCCATACCTCAACCTCGTTGGGATGGAAAGCTACAGCTTTGCTTACAATGCAGAGTTTTACAAATGCATAGATATTAATCACATTTTTGGGAGCAGAAGAAACAGCGAGGGAGGCAGGGACAAGCAGACCCAAAAACAAGTTGAAGATCTGGTCAGGTGTGACTCCTCTCCTCCTCCGTCAATGCTGCTGGCTTGCCAAAATCAGAAGCACTGGCCTGATCACTCCTGTCCAAGATAAGGAAATAGGGGAAGCCAGCCTTTTTATTTCTATAGGCAGTAAAACGAGGGTCAAGGATAGAGGAAAATTTTGAGTTAATGCCCCTTGATGAATTACATTTCCTGCTTAACTTTATTTTAACCTTAAAAACTAAATTATATTTGTTAAGGCTTAGTTTCTAAAGTAAAATTTAGCTCAGTCTTCTAATCTGCCTAGTTCTAGGTTGACCAGTACAGTCCATTTCATTCATGTGTCAATGAGTATTGAACTCACTGCTTTGAACTTTTAGACCAAGTTCCTAGAGGGCACAGATGATGCCTTTTATATAGTTAATGTGTCCTGTAGAGCACACGGTGAGTGTTTGGCCCTTGTTTTAATAATGATGATAATTACAAGTTAATGCAACATTACACACAATTCGTATAAGCCATTATCTCCAACTTAAATAGCCTTTACACTGCTCTTTCACAACTGAAAGGTAGTTATCTTCATTTTCAAATATATTCCCTCCCTACCTGATCTGGGTTTGCAGTGAAGGTGAAACTGGGGATCTAATACAATGAAGAAATTTAAAATGCCAAAACTTTGTTAAAATCAAAAAGTAGATTGTGTAGCCAACATTTATTCATACAAAGTGTTGAGCCTGGCAGCTGGTATACAGTCCTTAATTTACTCTATGAAGTCCTCGTTTTCAGGCAGCTACAACATCTTGGTGCTTTCCCTTTTGCCTGCTTGAGTTCATCTCTGCCTGGTTCACTACTATTAACTCAGAATGAGGAATATCTTACTGATTTTCCTCTTGATACTTTATTTTCCATTTTTCTGGGTCAGTCAATGCTTCTTTGATTCAAAGCTAAAATCACCTGCTTCAGTCTTCTTAATTATTCCATCTATTATGCTTACCACTAGGTTAATTTTCTGAGAACTTTAGAAGAAGTTAGGCTCTCTCATCTAAGTCCTGATATTCTTTCATTACTATATTCTCTGGAGTCTTCAATGGATTTAGGAAAGGGAACTTTAAACATGTTTCCTTCATATTTAGGGGGTTAAGGAACTAGGTGCAGGATTTAGCTAATGTCTTAAAAAAATTACAGAATAACAAGGGTTTTCCATAAATGTAGGTATAGGATAGGAGTTAAATATGTAAATATAATAATAAAAATATGAACTACAGTCAACCCTTGGTATCCAAGGATTCATCCCACAGGGGATGGGGAACCCTGGGATATGCAAGGCCTACTAAGGGACTTAAGCATCTTCAGATTTTGGTGTTCTCTAGAGTCCTGGAGCCAATTCCCTGTAGATACGAAGAGCCTACTATAATTTAAAATAGAATAAATTAAACAATATTCTTTATCCCAGTTTTTTGATGAGGGAACTGAGGCCTAGAAAGCTACGCGACTTCTACAGAATGGTAGAGCTAGTGAGAGACAGCTTTAGGATCAGTGCCTAAGTTTTCTATAAAAAGAATATTATTAGAACTGGGACTGGGTCACTGCTACTGCGTCTCAGCAGGTAACACCTTTGGCCTATAGAGTAAGACAGTTGTTCCTTGCACTGGATATGTAGCATCCCTGGGAATGAATGCCACTATCACTATCAATGAGATAATAGTCAATGACAGTATCAAATACTTTACATTATGTTTCCAGCATGTCCCTCTAAACCTTTCATTTTGAGGCAACAAGGGTAAAGGTGCAATAATTAGAGCAGACCATGAATGACCAAAATCTTATAAACTGATAAATTCTTAAATTACCTATTAATAAAAGCTACTTATAAGATACTGGATTGAGCC